CCTTAACGAATCTAAAATAAGTTATTACACGTGGTAGAAGTATGAAAATAGGTGGCGCCCCTGTAGTGAATTTCAAAATATGCCCTTATTTTCACCCTAATTCACACAAAAAAATTCATACTGATTGTAAATAATGTTTTTGATAAGATTTTATTAGTATTTCAATGTCATTTTACTATTAAGATGTGTAAAAAATTATTTTATACCCCTACCCCCTGTTTTAAAATGAATAGATGGCGCCTCTTTAACTGCCCATAGCGAATTTACTTACCACACATTTTTACTCAAGTTAGGATAATTTACTCTAGAGAGTGTCTGGAACAAAATGATACCCTCAAACCTTTTTTACTAGCCGATCACCGAAATCGGAGCTGGGGACAGCACTATATCCAGAAATACCATTCAATGTCTATACAAAGAAAGTACGCAATATTTTGGAGGATATGTTTCAAAGTTTTTGTATAAATAATTCATTTAATATTTGCCATTGATTTGTCTTTGGTGCCAATATTCTTCATCAATTGTGATACAAATTGATATTTTTGTAATCTCAGAATAGAAGGATAAGATATTGAAGTTTAATTATATGTGTGATTGAGTTGGTTTATCAGACATTACAATTTTCAATATTTTCTAAGTCGATACCCAGACTCATGGTAGGTGGTAGGCAGGAGACTAATATATCAGTCATCGCTAAAGCTCTGGGGGTCCACCCCTCTTTTTCAGAATTGATCTCCACAAAAGACATATTACTGAGTATTTGTTCCATAGCCTAGCATATTATGAATGAATATTATTTGGTACTATATAACTGCACTTTATCTTAATTTTTAGAATTAAAACCATGTCAGCATGCTGGCATGTCAGCGTCATGATTTTATGATTACTAGTATTGATGAAATGAAATAAATGAATAATTGCATTCAACGTTCAGCCTATATTGTTGAGAAATTATTTGCTACGTATAATTTTTTCCACAATATTTCCTAAAATAAGTTCATTTTCCGTGTGAAACTCCTGTGCACAGATCTATGGGCAGTATACCAGTATACGGGTATAGCAATGGGGGAAAAGAGTCTTGTTAGGTGGAACAGGGAAGGTTCGTGAAAACCTCAGGAAAACACGGAAGGGTAGGGGAGTTTTGTAGGGTAAAGGACCGTGAGTTGTTTGTAGAATGATACACTTTAAAACATTTAATTGACTTTAAGATTGCACCATATAATCATCAAAAATATCTCATTTTCAAGTTTTATCTATGGATTAACACCCAAGTATTGTTACATAGTGTTTTAAAGTGTATTGATGTTTTTTAGATGAAAAACACAAGTGGAATGCATGAACAAGCTCCCTAGATTCATTCTACAAACAACTCGCGGTCCTTTAAATACCCACGAAATAAATGTGCTTTTTCGGCAGTATGTATTGTATTCGAATATTTCGTTAACTTCACTTCCTTTCAATTATTAAATAAATAAAGTCGATGAACTATTGATTTTCCTAAGGGCAAGGAAGATTGCCTCCCAGAGTGCAATATCCATATTCTGTCTCATATATGGGAATGTGCTTCAAAATTCGAATTCCAACAGCCGCCATTTGTTCACTTCAACATTTGGATCGTGAATTTTGGTCTTATTTCCTATCGAAACATTCCAAATATGAAATTCTCGGAGTCAACCTTCCTTGCACCAACTAGTTGCACGTCGACGTTGTGCAAACTGCTACAAATTATAAAAGGTGCAATATGCGGTCAGCGTCACTGATCCATACGCTAAGCGGCTGACAGACTGAGGATGCACAATTTACAAATTATGGCTATTAGGTGAGTGGCTCCTCGGAACATAATGCTGAAACCAGTACAATGTTTTTTTAAAACCAATCTGTCGAGATAGTGTTTTCGAAAATTTAGCTGCATAGCCTGATAGCGGTTTTATTGGATGATTTTTAATAGCGTGTTGACTTAGGGGCGTCGGCAGAATTGTTGAATTGACTCCCGGGCATAGAAGGCATTCACAGCTCATCCGAGACTAAACAGGGGTCATTATGCTATGAATGAATATGTATACGTGAGCTGATCATTTTCGAATAAAACATGCCTTCGAAATAATGCGCTTATAATTCGGATATTTATTCATCGTCGTGATATCCGGTGTCCGGTCTTGATATAAAATCGATTTAAATACAGAGCGAGCAATGATTGCACATTTATACAATGAATTCCCTCATTCGACAAATCGAGAAATAGAGACGGCCCCCGACCTCACAACGTAAAATTAAAAGCCGGGTATTTTGACTTTAATTGTTCAAAGTTGGAAAAGAATTCTTACTGATGTCCAACCATGCTTCAATTAATGCGCTAAAACGAGTCACATTTAATTTACGCATTTGGTGTGAAGAACGGTAACACGTAACCTGGTTTTATTGGCTGCATTCCATCGGATCATATGTAATAAGTCCATCAATGTGATGTGCTTGTGATACTCTTTTATGTTGTATTAGATTCATACTGAATCATTAATGCATATTGACCGAGATATGGCCATGAACAAATACATACGCGTATCAAATCTAATCTTGGTTTAAAAATCGAGAAATACGACGTCGTCATTGGTTTGCGGTAAAAACCATGATTTTTCACTCGTCGTTACAGAAAGTTGGCAGAAATTTGTCTTCAGAGGTTTCAGAAAAAAACAATCATACCATTGGAGAGAACTCATTGTGGGCTAAATGTAGAGCGAAAAACATTTTTTAACTCAACGAGATTTAATAGCCCGATTAACGCGCGAATGTGATACACATTTGTGCATTTTCAGTGAATTTCTGTGAAATGTGTTTTACACGTTTGTACCCGTAGCTGGGTGGTATTTAATCGGGTCGAAATAACTTATCCATATGCGCATTGCCCTTGTAATAAGCTTTCATTAACTATAAAAATGATCATTCAATGACGAATATTGACCGAGATATGACCGTGAACAAATATCATACGCGCAAGGAGGATTGGCTCCCAGAATGCAACACCGATATTCTGCAAAACAATCACCTAGCGATAGCTTTGTTGGAGAGTATCGGGTTATTCTCCATGCAGTCGTACAAATTATACAGACACGAATAGCAAATGACGCATGCGTGGAGATTAAAGAATATCGAGTTGGAACCCTGGCTTCCAATCCTCCTTGATACGCGTATCAAATCTAATCTTGGTATAAAAATCGAGAAATACGACGTCATTGGTTTGCGGGAAAAACCATGATTTTTCACTCGTCGTTACAGAAAGTTGGCAGAAATTTGTCTTCAGGGGTTTCAGAAAAAAACAATTATACCATTGGAAAGAGCTCGACGTGGGCTAAATGATGAGTGAAAAACATTTTTTAACCCGACTTGTTTTAATAGCCTATTTAACCCGCGAAAATGATACACATTTCTGCATTTTTAATGAAAAATATGTCAAAACTTTAGCACCCGTAACTGGTTGGTATTTTATCTGACCAAAATAATAAATTCACATACGTAATGCCCTGGTTATAAGCTTTCATTAATTATCAAATTTATAATATAATGGTAAATATAATGGTAAATATTGACTGAGATATGATCGATTAGAAATGCATGTATACACCATGACGTTCAAAAGCGTGAAATTTAAATGGACTGATCACCGTAGATTACTACGCGATTTTGCCGAAAGAACAATGGAAATGACGTCTTGGATCTCCTGCTGATATGAGTTTGTTACTGCGCTGGTTCATCATGGCACGAAGTTTGGGTGTACCTTACATCCACACCAACTTGGACCAAATGATCTCGCAACATTTACATCTGCTACTTGTTATACAGCAATTGAAATTGTTTAGTCAATAGTTCTCTGAAAATAACTTGTTCAATGTAATAAACAAAAATATCAAGCAATCGAGCAGTTAGTTATGTGGTGTTTTGTGCAAAGCCTCTAGAAGTGCTCTCCTTAGTGATTTTTAAAATTACCTCTTCTGCATCAAGCATGCCAACTTTGAGAATCTAATATCTGTATTTGAATTTTCTCTGAATGCAAAATTAGATATTAACCCTTTCATCGCCGGGTAAAATTAGGAAATCGATCATGCCTTTTCAAACAAAAAATGTTTGACAATTGGTTTCTATTTTCAATCTTAAAGTCCAAACAAAGTTTGTGGTCAAAGTAAAACAGTGTATAATTATGTTTCAACTTCCATCGTGATTATGTTTAGATTTTCTCTTTGAAATAACTATCCAAATATCCATGAAAACAATGCCAAGTTTCTTTTCTTACATCTTAATTTTTCTTTGATCCATCACATAAAGCAGGAGAATGTAGGCTTACTTCAATTACATAAAGAAGACATCTTTGTCACTCTTTATGATGTGTGTTGATTGGCATCTCCCCTTAGTTCAAATGAAAGTGGGAGGGAGTTTCTATGTAAAGTATATAGATCTCAGAATGCCGTTATGAACTGATATGCCTAAGGTAGGATTCCTTGGAATCGCTCGATAAGAACAGTAGTATTTGACATTAATCACATTATGCATGCCTGGTGTCGAATTATACACATGTACATGTATCTTCGCTCTCCCACATCACGCCTTTATGCCACGAGTGATTAGCATTCATGCATGTTGAATTTGTCCAATTTCAATTTCAATTTATTTATTATACCATCATCCAAATAAAGGCGTACATACAGTAAATAAGTATATAACAATTTAAGTATTCCATAACAAACATATTTACAATTGCTTCCCAGTCTCATTTAGAAACTTACACTGCTAACAATACTTTACTATCAGATTGTAACAGCTTGGCATATTCAGTAATAAAGTAGTTAAATTAAAGTAAGTTAATTAAGTAATTAAAGCTTTAACCTGGAAAAGCAGTTAATATTACGTGTTTTTTTAGATTTTAGTCCAGTTGGAAGGAAGACCTGTGGAGATATATTTCGTGATATTACATACATCGTCATTTCTATTTCGTGACATACAAAAGTCGCCAGTTTTGAACCGGAAGTGTGAAATTTCACAAGATTTTATTTTCATTTTTTCATCTTTAGCCAATATTTTGTTATTGACACATAAGTTCCGCATGTCATAGTAGCTCAAAATGAAGACACGCTTTAGTACTATCGACATAAGGGCTGTAGTTACAGAAATCCAAGAGAAGTAAGCTATTTTACTGTAGACTCTACCTAATTTTCTTTTTCATTGAGATCGACTAGAGTCAATTTCACTGCTTCATTGCGTCAGTAGAACGGCAAAAATAAGAAATTGGGAGACCATTGTGCAATACTATATGGAAAAGTATATTCATAATGTACATGAATGACATTTGTATATTTCAGATTTTTTAGTTTTTCGTGCAATAAGCCTGTGCCGTCTTGTTTACTTCGGTCCGAAGCCTTCTCTATATTCCGGCTTTGAGTAGAAAGATTGAGCTGCCTTGGTATTGTAAATATTGTAAAACATCATTGTATCACACGCACAGTAAATACGGCATAATAATATGAAATATACCTCTATGTATAGATTTGAGAAACATCAGCACACATCTCCGTCTGAATCTATTGATATATTTGATTTCTTTAAGCGAGAATAATTTCAAAGTTTCCTCCATTTTTCACGTTCGGAACCGGAAGCCATTTTTTAGCTACAGCGAGAAAATTTCACCATGTGTCAAACTCCGAAAAGAAATTTTGAAATATCTAAATCCAGACAAGCAACGCTTCATCCTAAATATAATTAGTATTCTTAAAAATATTTATAAAATTTATTAAAAATGATTTCTAGGTGTGTGTTGCAATTTTTACAATCAAAATACGAGTACATACGAAATCAATGAAGTTACATCTAGCTGTAAGCTATAGACTCGAGTAACGTCTTGTAATTTGAAGAATTTCAGCCATGTTAATCTTATTGAAAATAACATGGCAGAGAAGCATCCAAATATAAGAGGCCACACACTTTATAAGCCAAACTAGAAGCAAATCTAAGATATACAAATGTCATTCATGTACAATACTTAGGAATATATTTTTCCATATATTATTGCAAAATGACATTTTGATATCTTATTTTTTAGCTTTTACTGACGCAGTTAAACAGTGAAATGGACTCTAGATACTAAAAAAAAGTAGTACAATGTTATGTTCTTATTTCTTATTTTACTTAGTTCACTTAATATCTACATGGGTTTACTTGGAAATCTCTTTGTAAACTCCCTGTTCTTTTCAAAATCATCATTGGCTTCTCCGATTGCACTTTTTAGTTTTTGAGTTTAGTTTAGTATACTCTAGTACCATCTCTTGATCGATTTAAACTTTTAGTTCCATATACATAACACTTCTAAATGATGGATGATCGGAATAAGAATTAGGGTGTACATGATGCAAATATTTTGAGTCAGATATATTTTGAGCTATGACTCCGTAATATGTCAGATTTCTCAAATCAAATTAAACTGAATTGTTAAAGTTTTATGTTGATTTACAGGCTACAAGGAATGAGAGTGAATAATGTGTATGATGTCGACCACAAAACATATCTCATCAAATTACAAAAGTAAGCAAAAACTGATTTTATGTTCTAATTTGCATAATTAGTAGATAATCTGATAGAGCTTCATAGAAGTCGTACATAATTATTTCAGATAAATCCATATTGCTCCTTGAATATATTCTCACAATCTTTTTTAGGCCGGATCAGAAAGCTGTGCTTCTTATAGAGTCTGGTATTAGAATACACACAACAGCGTTTGAGTGGCCGAAACATACCACCCCATCAGGTTTCTCAATGAAGGTATGTGAGAAATGTTCACTGAAAACTTGCTTGAAAGTATGGGGCTTTTTGTTTAAGAAGTTCTTGATAATCTGCTAAGTAAGAGTATTCATCGACAACTTGCTTGTACTCAAGGGGCGGGGAGGAAAATTCTCAATAAATGGTGTATAGTTGGTTTGGCAGCGTTTTCAGTTAGGGGAGAGTCTTGGATGAAACTTCCACTTAGGTGATAGCTTCACAGAGTGGTAGGAAGTTCTTTTTTTTGAGGAGTTAGCCCCCCACCCCCCAAAAACACCCCACCCTGGGGAAAAAATTGTTCACACTAAATAACCTTAGATATTTTGATGTTTGTAAGTGACATACATAGATATTATATATATGAATCACTTGCAGTATAATTGATGCTTATAAATATTAAAGAATTTGAAAATTAGTACAAAGTATGTACCCCAGGGGGCAAATTCGTGACTCACTTTCTTACTATTTTGATTCTAACTTTTCAATTAGACACTGTAAGAGGTTGGAAAAATTCATGTGAAGTGCCCAATAGCAGTGTTAGAAACCCTGAAAGATGCAAAGCCATGGAAGAGGTAGGAGCTGAGAAAAAAATTGTTGATTTTTCGAAAAATTTGACATTTTTGACAGCTGGATTTTGTGTATGACTATAGCTGACACTTATAACTTCTAGATCCATCCCTCTATGATGATATTTATGGTTTTATAGTGTGAAACTAAGATGTAAAACATAATTTAGATGGGTTTAAATGAAGTTAAAGGTTTTAAACAAGTCCAAAATTTGAAAAATTGTAAATATAAGGTTTCAAATTTACGAATTCCAGGTATAGCCATGGCTGACCCCTATAGTTTCTAGATCCATCCCTCTATGATGATATTTATGGTTTTATAGTATGGAACTAAGATGTAAAACATAATTTAGATGGGTTTTAAGGAAGTTAAAGGTTTTAAACAAGTCAAAAATTTGAAAAATTGTAAATATAAGGTTTCAAATTTATGAATTCCAGGTATAGCCATGGCTGACCCCTATAGTTTCTAGATCCATCCCTCTATGATGATATTTATGGTTTTATAGTATGGAACTAAGATGTAAAACATAATTTAGATGGGTTTTAAGGAAGTTAACGGTTTTAAACAAGTCCAAAATTTGAAAAATTGTAAATATAAGGTTTCAAATTTACGAATTCCAGGTATAGCCATGGCTGACCCCTATAGGTTCTAGATCCATCCCTCTATGATGATATTTATGGTTTTATAGTGTGGAACTAAGATGTAAAACATAGTTTAGATGGGTTTTAAGGAAGTTAAAGGTTTTAAAAAAGTCCAAAATTTGTCAAATTGTAAATATAAGGTTTCAAATTTACGAATGTTAGGTATAGCCATGGATGACCCTTATGGTTTTTCATCAATACCTCTATGATGAAACATATATTTTTAGAGTGTGAAACTAAGAAGTAAAACAAACCGAAGATGAATTTTAAGGAAGTTTAAGAATTTTAACAAGTGTAATGTTTAAAAAATTGAGAAATATCAGGTCTCAAAGGAGCACGGAAAGTATGGCAACATATTTCAGACAGTCATATGTTAGATTTTGTCTGTTTCCCAAGGATTTAAGAAGGTGCATATGATAGGCCATTTCATAACCTACAGGAAAAGAACTCTTAGAGGTGATAAAATAGTTTGGACTTTGAGACAGCGAAGGTGCAAACAATCCACCCACATGTTTTTTCGAAAATGTTGTCCTGATTTTCAAGCCCTTTCACCCCTGCTTTTTCAATTTTTGTTGCATCGATATGTTGTGTTTTGAGACAAAGTTAACCCATAGAAAGGAATAATAAATTTCTTTTAGATAAAGCAGAAAACAATATTTTCCTGTTATTTTCCCATAGGGAAAACTCATGTGCTCCATTACTTTCAGCTTAATTTTGGTCACCCATATTTGATATCTTTTAAACCCCTGATGGAATGCATTATTTCTTTAAAGGGGTTAACTGTGTGTCAAAACACAACATATTGATGCATGTGGGTGGGTTGTTTGCACGCTGTCTCAAATAGAAATTGTTTTATCATCTCTATGAGTGCTTTTCCTGGAGGAAATGCATTGGCCTAACATATGCACCTCCTCAAATCCTCAGAAAATAGCAAAAATCCAACATGTGACTATCCTAAATCTGTTGCGATACTTTCAGTCCTCCTTTTCAGGTATTGCCTTGGATGTCCCTCTTTTTGAATGGATGACTTTTTAGCTTAGAAATTAGATGTTAAAAATATTGTGGTCAGGTTTGATCCATGTTACAAGTATTGTTAAAAGAAAAATCATTAGAGTTGAGGACTTTACTGTAGAGTTCCTAAGGGGGTGAGAGGTTAATAAATCCCCCTCCCCTAAAGTGTTACTATTCCTAGGGATATCGTATACAGTGTAGTAATTGATTGGGTTAAATGGATTATAACTAATTAATTATTATTTGATGATATTTATTATGTGATACAGCATTTTTACTTTTTCACATCAACATGTTCGATGTAATGTTCTACATTGTCAAAATACATAAAGACATGGATAATTAAAAGAAACATGATTTCTCTATATTTTGTTATGCCCATACTGTAATTAAGCAATGATCATCTTCTAATACAAAATATTATTATAAATTATCAAATTATAATCACTACACTCCCAATAAAACAACTTGTCACCAGGCAACAGTGATTATTTGGAAAAATAAGGATTATAAGGATCATACCCCGCTGGGCCTAGAAACTCCCGTTAGTGCAATGAGATTAGGAACTTCAGGGTAAAAGGGTCTTGTCACTCTAAAATCTTCATGTAGATCAAAAAAGTATATATGGTGATATATATGATCAATATGTATTAAACAGACATTGTAGAAAATGTTTACATACTGACTTTGCAGATGACGTTTTCTAGCAGTTGAAGAATTTTTTACATTTATTGAAATGATAGTCATAAAATTAGAATATCAGTGTCATTTGATGCAAATTACTGCAGTCCCACATGTTCTCCGCTGAATGTAAAACAGAGTGAATAAGTTTAAAATCAGCCTCTTCAAGAGTGGAATTTAACAGGGGATTTCAGTTATCATTTTCACAGATATTTAAGTTCACTCCAATAGTTCCACTTAAAACAATCTTGACATTTGGCACACTTTTAGAATGCTGCTTTATTAAATATCTTTGTAATCTTTGAAAATTTGTATTATATGACTTGGCCAAAAGGTATTCATATTTTTAGGTAATGGTGTAATTTCTTCTTTGGATTAAAGTTCAGTAGGGGAAGCATCCATTCTTCGCATTCTTTCAGAATCCTTTACTGATTGAGACTACTAGGAGTCTAATATGAAATCTATTTTTTGGGCTCCTTTATTAGATTTGATGGAGTAGTCAAATATAGCTTTCCAAAACTCTCCAAATTTCAACATATAAGTTAATCTTAATTTTCCTTTTGTCATACCCATTGCATCGATCACAAAAGTTTTATCAATTTGTGGTATGGTTTCATCGATCTCCATTTCAAACCCCTTTTTAAGTTCTGATTTTACAGATAAGATAGATGATCATTGTCAAACGAACTGTTTGTATCCACATAAGATCATAGTTTACTCACACATAGCTAGGCAACTTGTGTCCAATTCCAGCCAATTCAATACTTCATATAACTGCATTCCAATGTACCACTCTCATAAACCCAAGGTCAATTTTAGATTCTAGAGAAAGTAATGAAACCAATAAGCTGATCAATAACATTGACAAAAAAAATCTATAAATAGCATCATAGGGAATAGCATGCCAAGTGCTTGTATTTGAATTTATGTGGATTACTCATTTGGTAGACACCTTTATCAAATCTTAAAGTGTTGTTGATTTTCAAGTTGTACAAGCAAAGTGTCATGGGTGCTTTCTTTTCCTGTCATAGTATTAACATTGTGGTAAAAATTATCAAATGCACCTAGTACAGTAGTTCTAGTTCATCATCTTGTATAAATTATATATCAGCAGTGAAACCTGTATATCCCAACATCTGACTATTGTGAATACCTACCAATCATCATATCTAATTGAAAAATTAACCTAACTTGAACTCTTTTTACCAAATATCACATATTTCTTACAAAATTGCTCAAATATTGTCAGTTTAACACTGAATTGTTATGATATCAAAACTTTTGAATTGGATTTTGGAATGCTATTAAGCTTTTTATGTGGTCAGTATAAATATTATTAATATTTTTCATTGAGAATGCATTCATATTTCTTCAAAATCCAGAACTTGTATTGTAGATGTTAAAACCTCAAAATTCAAACACTCCTAATTAGAATGCTTTTAGCTGGTCCAAATACCAGTAGCATTCAGATTAGAGAGATTTTACTGTAGTTCACGACTTTTCACTCCATCTAAATGCAGCAGACTAACTGCTGCAACAGGTATATATTCTACACCTGGTCTAAAACTGTATATTTAATCATAGAGGTATGGATGTAAAAATCATAAGGGTCAGCCGTGGCTATACCTGAAATTCATAAATTTGAAACCTTATATTCACAATTTTTCAAATTTTTGACTTGTTTAAAACCTTAAACTTTCTTAAAACCCATCTAAATTGTGTTTTACATATTAGTTCCACATGGCAAAACCATAAATATCATCATGGATCTAGAAACTATAGGGGTCAGCCGTGGCTATACCTGGAATATGTAAATTTGAAACCTTATATTTACAATTTTTCAAATTTTGGACTTGTTTAAAACCTTTAACTTCCTTAAAACACATCTAAATTATGTTTTACATCTTAGTTCCATACTATAAAACCATAAATATCATCATAGAGGGATGGATCTAGAAACTATAGGGGTCAGCCATGGCTATACCTGGAATTCGTAAATTTGAAACCTTATATTTACAATTTTTCAAATTTTGGACTTGTTTAAAACCTTTAACTTCCTTAAAACCCATCTAAATTATGTTTTACATCTTAGTTCCATACTATTAAACCATAAATATCATCATAGAGGGATGGATCTAGAAACTATAGGGGTCAGCCATGGCTATACCTGGAATTCGTAAATTTGAAACCTTATATTTACAATTTTTCAAATTTTGGACTTGTTTAAAACCTTTAACTTCCTTAAAACCCATCTAAATTATGTTTTACATCTTAGTTTCACACTATAAAACCATAAATATCATCATAGAGGGATGGATCTAGAAGTTATAAGGGTCAGCTTTAGTCATACACAAAATCCAGCTGTCAAAAATGTCAAATTTTTCGAAAAATCAACAATTTTTTTCTCAGCTCCTACCTCTTCCATGGCTTTGCATCTTTTAGGGTTTCTAACCCTGCTATTGGGCACTTCACATGAATTTTTCCAACCTCTTACAGTGTCTAATTGAAAAGTTAGAATCAAAATAGTAAGAAAATGAGTCACGAATTTGCCCCCTGGGGTACATACTTTGTACTAATTTTCCAATTCTTTAGGATTTATCAGCATCAATTATACTGCAAGTTATTCATATATATAATACCTATGTATGTCACTTACAAACATCAAAATATCTAAGGTTATTTAGTGTGAAAATTTTTTTCCCCAGGGTGGGGTGTTTTTGGGGGGTGGGGGGCTAACTCCTCAAAAAAAAGAACTTCCTACCACTCTGTGAAGCTATCACCTAGGTGGAAGTTTCATCCAAGACTCTCCCCTAACTGAAAATGCTGCCAAACCAACTATACACCATTTATTGAGAATTTTCCTCCCCGCCCCTTGAGTATTGGGGCTTTAAGCTTAAAAAGTTCTTGGTAATCTGCTTATAGTGAGAATAATTTTTTTTTTTAAATTATAATATTTCTTGGTGATCAGTACTCAAAATTATAAAAAATATGCAAACTTAGCACATTTGACCCTTTTTGATTGATTTATGGATAAAATGTTCCCTGTCATAAAGCATCTCAATATTTTCTTTGTATGTTCTATTTGCTTCACTCAGACTCCTTTCTTATTTTAGCTTAGGAAACATTTACGTAGCAGGCGCCTTGAGAAAGTGGAACAGCTGGGAGTGGACAGGATTGTTGATTTGCAGTTTGGTTCTAGTGAGGCTGCATACCACGTCATCTTGGAGCTTTATGATAGGGTACATTATTTGTCAGTATTTGTGTATTGTTATATTCTGAGCTTTAGTTTCCTGATTTCTACCAAGAGAGCAAAATTAATGAACATTAATTGTATCATCCCAAAATCTGAGTACGAGAAAATATGGAAATGGTACCTTATTAAAACTGTGCTTATTGACATGTTGGAATGGTAATGTACAGAGCTGTAAATTCATTGATATTGTCATTTCTTAACATTACTGATATTAATATTTCATTGCACACATGTTTTACACATTTAACTTGTGAATTGTATTATTTCAGGGAAATGTTGTCCTCACAGACCATGAATACACAATATTGAACATTCTACGTCCCCGTACAGATGATAGCCAGGACGTCAGGTTTGCTGTTCGTGAGAAATACCCCATAGAGGGTGCTAAACAGCAACAACCCATGCTTAGTATAGAGAGGTAGTTAAGTAATAAGTAAAACCTGTAAATTCGAACACCTAGGCCTATATTATGTGTAAAATCTCCATAAATAGAACACATTTAAAGTTCCATTGTACTTAATGTAAAGAATACCTTTCAAATTGGAACACCTCCAAATTGGACCACAATTTTGAGATACCAAAGGTGTTCCACAGACCCCCGTTCAATGCTTATTAAATGTTTGACTGTAAAACCTCAGTAAAAGTATAATAACTCATCAACAACTATATGTAACTTTCATATAAAATTGAAATCCGAGTGCTTGAGCTTTAATTAATAAATAATTCATATCACTCATCTTGTGCTTGTACTTAAAGTGAGAGGGAAAAACTATTGTACATTTATGCAAGTGCATGTTTTAGGATATAAATATCAAATACCCTTTGTATGTTTTAGACTGCAGGAGATAATGCTGGCTGGTAAAGAAGGAGATAATTTAAAGAAGATCTTAAACCCACAACTCCGTAAGTATCTTGCTTTGAACAAACGAAATGTTTCTTTTTCAGTAAACATGATTAACAATTTAAAATATACAAAGTACAGGTACACCAATATGAAATTGATGAAATGAAAAAATCTAGTTTAGTAACACATTTAGGAAGCATTTCAATTGCTATTATAGTCAGTTGATCAACCTTGATTCAAAACAATTATGGATCTATAATTTTGTTGTTTGTTGTCATCCCTTTAACATAACTCAAAATCCTTATTCAACTGGTAATGATTGAACAAGCTGTTAGTTGAATACAAAATATAGATGTCATTGCAGTCATTCTTCCCATTTAAAACATTTAAACATAAATAAAGCATGAATTTAAAGAATATACCACCTAAATTCCCATGAATTAAAATATCTAAATGAAGTCTTTCATGTTCTACTTCTACCCGTTGTTATCATCTTCCAGCCTATGGACCTGCTGTGATTGACCACTGCCTGCTTGAGGTTGGACTGTCTGGGGGTGCTAAGATAGGGAAAGGGTTTGATCCAACTGAAGGTGAGTTGTCAGGAACGACATACATTAAATCTTGTTCAAATGCAGAAGTCTTATAAATTATAATGCAATGCAAACATTTATCCTAAATTGTGAAATGTTTTTAAGGGCCTTATAAGGCATTTAGGGGTCAAAATGCCTCTGGTACTAAAGTAACAATTTATTTATCATGGGCTTTTCTGGGTAATTGCGTTCTGAAAACTGCTACATTACTTTCTGATAACATCTAAAGGAGCCATTATCTGCTACTTATTTTACTTTTATATCATACTTATCAATGAATTTTTGATTTAAATTTTTAATTTTTTTGTGTTGTAGATCTTCCAAAGCTTATGCTTGCTCTAGAAAAGGCGGAGGAAATTTTAAAGCAGATAGGGACATCAGCGTGCAAGGTATTTTAAATTGTATTACAATAATCTCCAAGATTTGGTCTGTACCTAGTTTAACATAGAAAAAATTGAAAATTTATTAGCCCATTACTTGAAAAATTAGAAAAGTATTCTGGGATTAAACTTTAAAATGAGTTTCCATAAAACAAAAATCTCATTAAATATGTTAAGAAATATATTTAACAATAAAACAGAAAAAATTAACTGAGATGTCAATAGGGACGTGGTAAAAATTGACGTTCATGTATGTAGCATTAATTTTATTGTAATTCTCACATGGATTCTTTAATTATATAAACCGAGAGGAAACTGGAACTTGTGTTTTTTGAATGTATTATCTCATGTGTTTACCTATCTTTCAGGGTTATATTATACAGAAGGCTGAAAAGAAAGCAGCAAAAACTGAAGGAGAGACTGGGGAATTATTGACGTAAGAAAACTTAGTAACTTATTGCTGAACATTATTGTATGTATAAACTGACCATAAAAAAGTATAATAGTATTGTCATTTATGATCCTATGTGCTGCCAGAAATGAGGGCTTGAGCTATAGTAATATAGATTTCTTTTATTTTGAAAATTGTATGTTTCATGTACGTTTGGCCCTAAAAGGGCATCAGTACAAATAAAATCGTACTATATATTGATAGGAACTGACTCAGATTTCCCCTTTCGTTGATATAATAAGAAAATGGCTTTATTAAACCAATTCAGTTATTCCTTTTCAGTTGAATTGAGAAATATTTTTATTTTACGATATCGATGACTTCAATAAAACAATTGTATTTTGTTAGGTATCCCAACTCTGTTAGTAGGTGTTTATTCCAAATCTTTTTCAATCAATACATGTATGTAATATTACAGAGAGAGCCAAAAATATAAATTGATCCAACCTCATTTACTGTACTAAATATGATTAGAAGTACATTCTTTAAAAAAATAAAGTGATTTTGATTTATGTTTGAACATTGACTGCAACTTCACACAATGTTAATTGGTTATAGTCCTGTCGTTGGATCCTGACGTAGCGACCAATCAAGTTCCTTGTGCAGTAGAACAGTTGCCAGGTACTGACCATGCGTCCTGAGTGGGAACGACATGAGTCCCATGTCAATGTATCATTGCTTGCCTCTATTCTAAAATTCTCCAGAGCTACAATAAGAAAAATAAAAATATTTGATACAAAACAGAAGTAATGAATGATAGAATTCGACAAGTTGTAATGTAACAAGTCTTACTGTTGCGAGGAAATACTGTTGACACCAGTTTGACAGAGTATATTGTATATGCTTGTCGCAGATCCACCATCCACCATGGATTTCTTTGTGCTCGTGTTTGTGTACATGATCCATGGTAAAAATTAGTGTCTTCATTTCCATCCACAGCCAGAAAGGAAAATCCATTATTATAGGCATAATTGTTTGAGGATTGTTGAGTTGGTTGGCCTGTTGCAACACTACCTGCTCATAAAATTATGTTGAATAGAATTAATCAAGAAAAATACCTAATTGCAAGAGATCCAAGCACATCATTAAGTGAAATATGAATTGGAAACATTGATTAGAAAAAATATTATAGCTTTATCACAAAGATTATGGCAGATTTAGTCCAAATAATTTCATCATATCCCAGAGACAATGCTACTGGCCAGTTACTTCTGAGATAAATGTTCAAATGAAGAGTGATTTGATATGTTATGCTCAGAAGGATTAGCTAATACGATTGATTTCTGGAGAGATTTCATCTTAGTGTTTTTGATACCTTCATCTTGGTTTGGATTTTTTTTCAAATTCCATCAAAAAGATTCTGCATAATGATAGAACTAACGTCACATATGGACATTGATTAGTATGGATGGGTGTTTTGATTGGTTTACATAATCATTGTTTCCATGGAAATGTAACAGCCATTACATAAAGAGGTTTAAATCAAATTCAAAACTAAATACCACCAGAAGTTGGTGACATATTTGTCTCCAAATTTTTAGTGCACAGTGTTCAGTATTCAGATTTCTGCGGTTGGCATCTGTAACAAATGGCAGGTAGTGACATTTATGTTTGGAATAGTAAATATGAATACTCACTTGTAGATGGTGGCAATGACCATTGAGCAGCCACTGAACCAAGAACTAGAAACAGAGCTAAAATCACTTGATCATTCATGTTCACCTCCTATATTTTTAACAATGCATGTACTTCTCCAAGAGTGAATCATATATTATCTTACATGTTTTGTAACTTGTTGAAAAGTTTTATATAGGGCAAATGTAAATAACCACAATGATTGGCATATCATTCTTCAACAGCTTAAAACTGCATAAAATGAGGTCAATGTATTGATTAGAATTTTATCTCTGACAAAAATATGTAGGAAATGAAACCCAAATCTCTTAGCTGAAGCAAATACAAAGCCCCAAAAACCCACATTTATCAAACAAGACTACACTTGTGTGTTTTTTATCCTAGACTTAATTCACAATACTAAAGTACAAAAACATTCATGAATAACATTTAAAGAAGGAAGATACACTGATTAAATTTGAGAAGGACATATCATATAATGTCGAATTATTCAGCATCTTAGGAGCAGTGAATTCCACTTCAAATATATATATTATTAAGAATTCTTATTCTTTGAAATAAGATGTTTTAAACCATATATGTACACAATTACCATAAACAGCCTTTTATACAGTGCAATATTTTACATGTATCTTTTTTTGTATTGAGGGTCCTTACCCTATCTTGCATTGTTTCCTATCAGTCAAATCATGTATTCATGTGGTAGAGCCCATGATAAAGATAAGAAAAAATCTCAATATTTTTTGAAGCAGCCATATTTTGTAGTAAATGTTTCATTATGATATAAACGTCAGGCCAAGTTTTTAATATATACATATAATATTATCCAAAAAATATCAACAACTTTCACAAATGCCCCTTTCCTGAAAAAATGCTGCCATGACCAAGGCCAAAATATTTGAGCAGAGGTCAAAATCAGTTCGAGTTTGTGGGTCTACTTTAACCCCAGGGAATCAATTTAGTTTTAAAGCAGATAGAAATATGAGTTTTCAAACATAGTTTTCTGTCTAATCTAACACTACTGGGACTGGCCAAAAATGCTCAGTTTGGCATATGTTCACATTCCAAGTTTTTTAAAGTGGTAATCTGTGGCAGATTCAAAAATGGAACCAAAAAGCTATTCTATTGAGAGGTGTTCAGATTAGAAAGGTGTCTCAGTATACAAGTTTTACTGTATTTATTATATAGCTTTTCTATGACATTACAGATACCAAGAATTCCATCCTCTTTACTACAATCAGCACCAGAAGCAGCCATATGTTGAGCTAGAATCGTTCGATAAGTCAGTGGATGAGTTTTATTCTAAAATAGAGAGCCAGAAATTGGACCTTAAGGTTATACAGCAGGTGGGAATAAGCCTTATGAAACCCTTTTTGCTTTTGTGTGTGTAGTGTCTCCATAGATTGATGTAAATTAGCAATTTGGTATATTTGAGGCTGTAAAAATTCTGTACCTCTGTTCAATGTATATCTTAAATAGATTCGAATCGTTTTACTTTTTTTCTTGTAGGAGAGGACAGCCTTGAAGAAATTAGACAATGTCAAGAAAGATCATGAAAAGAGACTTGGCAGTCTTCAGAAAGACCAGGACACTGACAAACTGAAGGCTGAGCTAATTGAAGTGAACTTACAACTGGTATGAAATTAGTTTAGTAGCATTAGCAGAGAGATTATAACGCCACAATAGCACACATGCTCCCAATAAATGCACACCTTTCTATTTTCTCGAGTGCAAAAATTAATGAAAAAATGTAATAAATAGAGATGTGGCGATAAAAGGTTTAAATCACTTATCAATATTGATTGAGCTGTTGCCATGCAAAATGTGGTTTTACAGACTTGTCTCTAATTTATAATATGTAGACTTATTCCATTTGAACATTAATGCTACTGTTTCATTCTGTAGGTTGATAGAGCAATTGCAATAGTCAACAGTGCTTTAGCCAATCAAATAGACTGGACTGAGATACAAAATATTGTGAAAGAAGCTCAGCTGCAAGGTGATGCGGTTGCTATGGCAATCAAAGGCTTGAAGTTGGATAGCAACCATATAACTATGTTACTGAAGTGAGTTTTTTTTGTGAATTTGTGAAAAAATGTTGCACATGTTCTCTCATGCTGTCCTGATGCCAAAATTATATTTTAATTATCCTTAACTGTCATAATCTAGCAAAATAAAATTCATGATTTTCTGAAGACGTTTATTTTAAAAGTTGATAAATCTCTGCATCTCGTGCAAATTTTGGAAAGCAACACCTTCAAAGAATGGTCAATCCAAATTGCAGAAAGTCCAGGGCTTAAATCCTTAAACAATTGAATTTCCTTACAAGATCTGTATTTCTTTATAGAGATCCATATTTGGACAGTGATGAAGAAGGTGACCCAGAAACTACATTGAAACCAATGAGAATTGACATTGACCTTGCACTGTCTGCTTATGCTAATGCTAGGAAGTAAGTAAAAAGTAATACTGTATGCATGTCAAAACACACTGATAACACAAAGTCATGATCATTAGTATAAGTGAATGAAAACTAAAAGTAGACTACAAATATAACATCATTTAATCTTTAGATTTTGAGTGTTAATTATGTGAACATTTTTCTTTCAGATATTTTGACAAGAAAAGATTTGCTGCTAAAAAAGAACAGAAAACTATTGAAGCTTCAACCAAGGTATTGTTTCATTAAAATGTCTCACAAAATGTGAAAGAACGGAAAATCTTTTTCCATTGGAATCCTTGCAAAATATCATTTACCTTCTAAATAACAATACTGTTTGACTTTCTTTGTTAAAAAACCCCCTGTTAGTATAACCATGAACTTTTCAGAGTTCAATGTGTATATCTTTCTTGGAAGAGGGAGACAATTTGAAAATAAAACAAGTTATGTTTTTAGACAATATCAAAATAGTGAGATGAGCCTTTCTTTGTTGATTATTGCGTAAAGTTTCATTTTATTCTTATTATCCAGGCTTTGAAGAATGCTGAGAAGAAAACCAAGGAAACATTGAAAGAAGTTTCTACAATAGCAACCATCAACAAAGCTAGGAAAGTCTACTGGTAAGTGGAGATAAGCAATTCAGTTCATATATACAGGGTGTCCCGAAAGTATGGGGCCCCCCCTAGGCAGACATATACCAGTGTCGTCATAGTATGTGTCATATGTCATTTTAAAGCTCATCCAAAGTTACATTGATTCACCAAGTATCATGATTCAACTCTCAAATGTGAAAAAATGACAGGCATTTCAAAATTTAGTGTTTGGTCAAAATTAAGTTCAATTTTACACCAAATCACTAGTTAATGTGTCCTTCAGGGCCATCGTAACAGCAGCAATTCTTTTCGGGTCAGATGGATATTGAGTTGGAAAAAGAGAACGGTGAGGGTAGAAACTCTAAGGAAACTCTTCTAAAGTGCCATAACAGGTTTTAAGAGGGTTTTAAAATTCCCCACCCCTATTTGAAGGGCTTTTAAAGTCATATCTGAAAATAATTGCTGCTGTTAACATGGCCAAGGGGGGCCTCATTGACTAGTAATGTGGAGTAAAATTGAACTTTATTTTGACAAAACACTAACTTTTAAAATGACTGTAACTTTTTCCCAGTTGGGAGTTAAACCATGATACTTGGCAAATCAATGTAACTTTGGATAAGCTTTAAAATGATATATGATACATACTATGAGGACACTGGAATATGTCTGCCTAGGGGGGGCCCCATACTTTCGGGACACCCTGTATATAGTTCATATTTGACCTCTACTGATTACATCTTTTGCACACTGCTCTCATTTCATGCAAAATTTTCACCACTGTTTATCTGAACCCACATTGATTTGATGTTTCAATTTGGACACATTTTCAATAAATCTTTCTTTATCGTGATTGAAAATAACTATTCATAGTATTGTTTAATTATGAAAGAAACTAACTGGTTATTGTTTACCAAATTTTGATTGTCCATTTTGTTCCTGTTATCCATGTGATAAATAAATGTTTGACAACATTCTAAATAAGTAGTAAATTCATTAGAAATGTTATGAAAATTGAGAATTTGAGGTTTGAGAAGTGTCTATGGTTAAAATTCAGAATTTTTGAAAATTGTATGCATTTATGCCCGTGTTCTACAGTAAATCATTTGTGTTTTTCTAGGTTTGAAAAGTTTCTATGGTTCATAAGCAGTGAGAACTATTTGGTAATAGGTGGACGAGATCAGCAACAGAATGAACTTATATGGAAAAAATACTTAAAACCAGGTATGTTTGATTTATTATAAATAAATGATTTTAGAATATTGATGCACAATTTTAGACCAAGGTAATTAGAATAGATAAGATAGGATTTCATAACAGTAAATTGTGTATTCTTTCATTTACTGGTACCAGGTCGATCAATAAGTTCTGAGAATTTCCCTCTAAAATCAAGAGTTTTGTGACTTTTTGAATGAAATTTTCACAGAATATGTAGAATGTATTCAGCAATTAGTGTACCAAGTTTTTCTTACTTTCCTTTTAGTGGACCAAAAATATGGTTACTATGGTAACTTGTGTTTTGGGTAGGCGGGGCAAATAATTTTAATGTCAGAAGTAAAGCGCATAAAATGTAAATAAATAATTTATAAATCAATTATAAATATAGTTCTGAGCTGCTTCCTGCATTAGGGTTGGTCATATAGTCCTAGTAAGATGTCAAGGGGGTTCAATTAAGATGTTCAAAGTAATTTCCTCGGTTCTTAATACACCTCTCCTGGCGTTGAACCAACTGGCGGAACAAGTGCCTAAATCCATCTGGGAAACGTTTTTTCAGGGCATTTTGCACGGCATTGTGGAGGTCTGTAAAGTTCGCATATCTGAATCCTCTCAGCTCATCTTTCATCGGTCCAAACACACCAAAATCACAGATCGCAACATCTGGTGAATAGGGAACATGGGGTAGTTGTTCCATTTGAAGGTCATTAGATACAGTGCTTTTGACAATCGAAGATGTGTGGGACGGTGCATTGTCGTGATGATTAAGTAATGACGACAGCTCTGTTTCATGGCGTTTTCGTGCAATAGCCCGCTTAAGATGACGTTTCAATACCTGAAAAAAGAAGTGATTTTTAGGGCACCATTCCCTCACTAGATGTATTTAAACTACATGTACATTCAAGCTGAACTACCTAGACTAGAGTGAACATAAATTCTCTGGCAAGACATCATCCTGAAGGGCATCAATAGCCACACACTAACTTACCATAGCATAATAGTCTTTGTTTATGGTTTGTCCTTCAGCGACTGCATGCACCAGGAGTACCCCGTAGATATCCAGGAAAATGATGAACATAACCTTGCCATCTCTACGATTGAGTTTAGCAATGGTCGTCATAGGGGTAGGGGAGTCCTTTGTTCTCCATCCACTTGTGGCCCTCTTGCCTTCTGGCTCATAATATGAAACATAAACTTCATTAGCAGTAATAATGCGCTCCAAGAAAGCCTCCCCCTCTGCTTGGTATCGTCTGAGGAAGTCTTGTGCAACATCGACCCGGCGCTGCTTCTGGTCCATGGTTAGATCTTTTGGCACCCATTTAGAACACACAAGCTTCATATGGAGCTTCTCTTTCAGTATGTACTGTGTCCTTCCATAGCAGAAGTTTACTTTTTCACTTAACTCCCTGATTGTTATTCGCCTGTCTTCATCAAGGACAGTCTTGAGCTTCATTATATTTGTGGGCTTTGTAACAGTGGCCTTCCTGACCTTGCTTCATCTTTTACACTGGTTCTCCCACTTTGGAATTTGCCATACCATCTGTAAATAGTTTTAGTGGATATCCTGCCTGGAAAGGCTACCAACATCTCCTTGAGTGTTTCTTGTTTATTTTTGCCACCAAGCACGCAAAATCGTATGGCACTGCGCATCTGTATTGACATTTCCTCATTTTCTTCCAAATTTTTAGCATCTTTTGGAGCGGCCATTTTGGCAGGGTACATTGAGGTTGTGGAATTATGATGTAATAGTAATATTATGTAATTTGTCCTGAATTATGATGTCATATTAAATTGTTACCTAATAGTGATGGTTATAAAAACAACAAAATCCTCATTGAAATCCAATGCTTTGGTTGAAACATAAGATTGTTGCTTGATGTTAAAAAAATTTATTTACGTTAAAAATACTTGCCCCGCCTACCCAAAACACGAGTTACCATGGTAACCATAATTTTGGCCCAATAGGTGGAAAGTGCATTTAACTTCTTACACTAATTGCTGAATTCATATTACATGTTCTGTGAAAATTTCAAATAAAAATTCACAAAACTCTTGATTTTAGAGGAAAATTCTCAGAACTTATTGATCGACCTGGTACATGTGTGTTAAAATGTAAACAACTGGGAATCTGATTAGTCTTTATTATACTGTACATGTACTTACTGTATAAGTAATTACTGTTAAATGATTAGGTAAGATTATCAATTATACAGAATATTATGTCACTTATGCATTCTTCACTTTCTTGGATTTACATAAGTAGATTACCACATTTTTAATGATGCAGTAAAATACAACCAAGAAAATAATTGCAACTATGAACACAAGAAGTAGTATATCCAGCAAGAAGTACTGAAAAAAGTTAAGTTTAAACATGGCTGTAGATTTCAAGTGATGTGCGCCTTTGTGCTTCATAATGTATTCACACCAATACTGTATGGTATAGCTAGCGTTGATAGGTTGGTCTCGGGCCAGTTCTTGTGCTTTTAAAGCATTTTTCTTGTATTGAGGATTCCCTAGGACCTCATCTAATGCTGCTGATAATGTCTCCTCTGTGATACCAGCAAATGATGAAGTCACACCCATTTTATGATGTTGCGTCAGAATTGCACAGTGATGTCTCTGATCATAAAATAATGGAAATGCAATAACAGGTGCTCCATTATAAACAGCCTCAGCTGCACCAGATGCTCCACAGTGAGTGATGAATAATTTCAGTTTTGGATGCCCTAGGAGATCGTTTTGTGGTAACCATGGTGACAACATTGTATTGTTGCCTAGTGATATTGGCTGAGGGCCACCATATCTCCATAGAATCCGTTGTTTCAGCCTGGCAAACACAGTAGCAAAAATTTCTCTGCGTTTCTCATCCATTCCCTTTGGCATCGAACCAAATGTGAAAAGAATAAAACCAGCATCATTAGCGCCATCTATAAAGTCTAAATACTTTTGTTCAATCGGTTTATGCTCTCTGTCTTTTAAACCAAGAACAGGAATAACATTAGGCATAGTAGGGCGAGGGTAAAAGTACGCTGAGTTTGATTGGATAAAAATCAAGTCTGCATCATTGAGAACAGGATTGATATCACGTGAAAGTCCAAGCTTATCAGCCACTTTTGCCAGACTTTCATCTGTCATATCTCGCCAGTATGGAATGTAGTGATATTGTAATAACACATAATAAAATGTGTTCATTGCTCGTTCTTTGAAAGTCATTTGATCGCTGTATGGCATAAATACGTTTGGTATGTGTGATACAGGGAATGGCATCAGCCAGTTGTCATAATGGAGTTCATATCCAGCATTTGACCAAAGTATCGTTGGCCTATCGAGATATTCCTTCATGAGCCTCCCCAAGGCAAAATCCATACTGTCAAATATTATCAAGTCAAAGTTTTCGGCTTTGAGTCTTTTCCATTGGTTCATATCTGAGAAATAGGCAGGTAGTGAATAGTTAATGTATATGTCGTAATAATGTCCTCTGTTGAATATCATGTCCATTTCATCAAGTATTGTCTTTGATATTAGATCTTGGATTGAACCTTCTCCAAGATTGTATGTTAGATCCTTTACTGGGTAGTCATACTTGGTTATGGTAGCATTTGCTGCCTGGAGTATTTCAGAAGAAGTGTACTCTGTGTGAACGAAGTAAGTAACATTGTGGCCAGCCTTTGAGAGGATCAATGCTATCTGCTCCATGGCTGTGATCCTTGATGTTTTATACATTGGAAAAGGTTGAATCATCACCTAAAATAGATAATTGAGCATAATACAATATGAGTTCATTTGTTATTTATTACACATTGAATGTGATAAATCTTGAGCTGATGTTGACCTTTTCCATTGGTCACTCTTAAGAGGAGTGATATCACATGACCTTTTCAATTGGTCACTCACAAGGGGAGTGATATCATATGACCCTTTCCATTGGTCACTCCCAAGAGTAGTGATATCACATGACCTTTTTAATTGGTCACTCATCACATGACCTTTCCAATTGGTCACTCATCACATGACCTTTCCAATTTATCACTCATCACATGACCTTTCCAATTGGTCACTCATCACATGGCCTTTCCAATTAGTCACTCATCACATGACCTTTCCAATTCATCACTCATCACATGACCTTTCAAATTGGTCACTCATCACATGGCCTTTCCAATTCATCACTCATCACATGACCTTTCCAATTAGTCACTCATCACATGACCTTTCCAATTGGTCACTCATCACATGACCTTTCCAATTCATCACTCATCACATGACCTTTCCAATTGGTCACTCATCACATGACCTTTCCAATTCATCACTCATCACATGACCTTTCCAATTCGTCACTCATCACATGGCCTTTCCAATTAGTCACTCATCACATGACCTTTCCAATTGGTCACTCATCACATGACCTTTCCAATTCATCACTCATCACATGACCTTTCCAATTGGTCACTCATCACATGGCTTTTCCAATTGGTCACTCATCACATGGCATTTCCAATTGGTCACTCATCACATGGCCTTTCCAATACATCACTCATCACATGACCTTTCCAATTGGTCACTCATCACATGGCCTTTCCAATTAGTCACTCATCACATGGCCTTTCCAATTAGTCACTCATCACATGACCTTTCCAATTGGTCACTCATCACATGACCTTTCCAATTCATCACTCATCACATGACCTTTCCAATTGGTCACTCATCACATGGCCTTTCCAATTGGTCACTCATCACATGGCCTTTCCAATTAGTCACTCATCACATGACCTTTCCAATTGGTCACTCATCACATGACCTTTCCAATTGGTCACTCATCACATGGCCTTTCCAATTGGTCACTCATCACATGGCCTTTCCAATTAGTCACTCATCACATGACCTTTCCAATTGGTCACTCATCACATGACCTTTCCAATTCATCACTCATCACATGACCTTTCCAATTGGTCACTCATCACTTGACTTTTCCAATTGGTCACTCATCACATAACCTTTCCAATTGGTCACTCATCACATGGCCTTTCCAATTAGTCACTCATCACATGACCTTTTCAATTGGTCACTCTTCACATGACCTTTCCAATTGGTCACTCATCACATGACCTTTCCAACTGGTCACTCATCACATGACCTTTCCAATTGGTCACTCATCACATGACCTTTCCAATTGGTCACTCATCACATAACCTTTCCAATTAGTCACTCATCACATGACCTTTCCAATTGGTCACTCATCACATAACCTTTCCAATTGGTCACTCATCACATGGCCTTTCCTATTAGTCACTCATCACATGACCTTTCCAATTGGTCACTCTTCACATGACCTTTCCAACTGGTCACTCATCACATGACCTTTCCAATTGGTCACTCATCACATGACCTCTCCAATTCATCACTCATCACATGACCTTTCCAATTCATCACTCATCACATGCCCCTTCCAACTGGTCACTCATCACATGACCTTTCCAATTGGTCACTCATCACATGACCTTTCCAACTGGTCACTCATCACATGACCTTTCAAATTGGTCACTCATCACATGACCTTTCCAATTAGTCACTCATCACATGACCTTTCCAATTCATCACTCATCACATGACCTTTCCAATTGGTCACTCATCACATGACCTTTCCAATTGGTCACTCATCACATGACCTTTCCAACGGGTCACTCATCACATGACCTTTCCCATTGGTCACTCATCACATGACCTTTCCCATTGGGAAATCAATCACAAATGGCCAAAATGAGAAATGCTTGTCAATTGTTAATAAAACATGTTTGTGTACTTACCTTTCCACCATGGACTGCCTCAAGAACTTGGCAGATTAGAAGTATTAACAGAATTCCTCTCATCTTTTTGTGCTATATTTTTACTATGATATGAAATCTACCTTCGACTTAACTCACAACCCAGCATACAGCATACATTACACCCATCACATGACCTTTGTGTTATATTACACTATTAAAATTTATATCTTCCATTATGCCTTCAGAAGTAGAAAAAGTATTAAACAGTATAAATATTTATTTAGAGTCAGCATATTCACTGTCAAGCAGTTTGACTTACTTTGGCAAGTTGACCTGTTTTTTTAAATGAGTAACAAGACTTTGCCACAAATCCACTAAATGGTGTAATTTGTTCCTTCTTGACAATAAACTGGGAAACACTCAGAAAATGGATACTCTGGGAAATTGTGACAATCATGTTTTCAAAATATGTACGGACTCTGGTTATCAAGGACTGACTTGAGTAAGTCAACTACATGTACTTTTTAAGAGCTGATAAGAAGCGACATGTTCTGTCATATCCAGAGTTAATATTTAAGTTAAAGTACAGTTTTACCAATCACATTACAATTTATAAAACATACATACATTCAGTACATATTTCATAGAAATTAGAATATATTCCCAATTTATACCTCATCTTAATTTACTATCTTTATTCTCATATTCTGCTACTACTTACAAGAAATGAATGTTTTTAGTTGCCAAGGAGTAATGTGATTGTTCATTGTAAAAAGTTGGGTATTTCTGCGAGCCTACCTATATGTTTTTAGGGACTGAAATATCTATAAATAGCTCTAATCATTTCTATTCAGTTATCTAGATTATTGTTATGATAGCTACATGAATAATTTTGTATAATTTGGTGCCATAATGGACACACACTTGTATTTTATTCTGGATGTGCCCTGGTGCGCATGTACATGTACTTGTATCTTATTCTGAATGTGCCCTGATGTACATGTACTTGTATTTTATTCTGAATGTGCCCTGATGTAAATGTACTTGTATTTTATTCTGAATGTTCCCTGATGTACATGAACTTGTATCTTACTCTGAATGTGCCCTGATGAACATGTACTTGTATCTTATTCTGAATGTTCCCTGATGAACATGTACTTGTATTTTATTCTGAATGTTCCCTGATGAACATGTACTTGTATCTTATTTTGAATGTTCCCTGATGTACATGTTCTTGTATTTTATTCTGAATGTTCCCTGATGAACATGTACTTGTATCTTATTCTGAATGTTCCCTGATGTACATGTACTTGTATCTTATTCTGAATGTTCCCTGATGAACATGTACTTGTATTTTATTCTGAATGTGCCCTGATGAACATGTACTTGTATCTTATTCTGAATGTTCCCTGATGAACATGCACTTGTATTTTATTCTGAATGTGCCCTGATGTACATGTACTTGTATCTTATTCTGAATGTTCCCTGATGTACATGAACTTGTATCTTATTCTGAATGTTCCCTGATGTACATGAACTTGTATCTTATTCTGAATGTTCCCTGATGTACATGAACTTGTATCTTATTCTGAATGTGCCCTGATGAACGTGTACTTGTATTTTATTCAGAATGTTCCCTGATGAACATGTACTTGTATCTTATTCTGAATGTTCCCTGATGTACATGAACTTGTATCTTATTCTGAATGTTCCCTGATGTACATGAACTTGTATCTTATTCTGAATGTTCCCTGATGTACATGTACTTGTATCTTATTCTGAATGTTCCCTGATGTACATGTATTTGTATCTTATTCTGAATGTGCCCTGATGAACATGTACTTGTATCTTATTCTGAATGTGCCCTGATGTACATGAACTTGTATCTTATTCTAAATGTACCCTGATGTACATGTACTTGTATTTTATTCTGAATGTTCCCTGATGAACATGTACTTGTATCTTATTCTGAATGTTCCCTGATGTACATGTATTTGTATCTTATTCTGAATGTTCCCTGATGAACATGTACTTGTATTTTATTCTGAATGTTCCCTGATGAACATGTACTTGTATCTTATTCTGAATGTTCCCTGATGTACATGTATTTGTATCTTATTCTAAATGTACCCTGATGTACATGTACTTGTATTTTATTCTGAATGTGCCCTGATGTACATGTACTTGTATTTTATACAGAATATTTCATACTGAACTTTTACCTTATTTTGTACAGAATGTGTCATGATATACATAAACAGTACTTTAATTTAGAATGTGCCATAGTGTATGTGATTGGACAGTACTTGTATTTTATAGGTGATATCTATGTCCACGCTGACCTACATGGTGCAAGCAGTGTGGTGATAAAGAACCATACGGGTCAGGAGGTCCCTCCCAAAACATTGAATGAAGCAGGCACAATGGCTGTGTGTAACAGTGCTGCATGGGATGCCAGAGTGGTCACCAGTGCTTGGTGGGTCCATCATAACCAAGTATGCATACTCTTCAACATAATTACTGCTTTAGATAGGGGAAAAGGCTGGAGTATTTAAATTGAATTCAGTGAATAAGTCTATATATTATTTGAGCAATTTTGTAATATAATTATTCCCGTAATAATGATCTTATGATTAGTTTGTTTTATTGTTTATATTGAGTTATCCTATATATTGCAATTTATATATGGATTATATGTGTCCAATATATTTGTTCTTTGACCTATTTTTGCAATTCGGCCTACATTTTTTAAAAAATTGGCTGAAAAATATAACAAAGAATTAGAATGGGAAGATCAAAGAGTCAACCCTAATAGACTATAAAGGGCCTATGCAAGCCTAGTACTTTACTTTATTTGTTGTTTATTAGGTTACCAAGACAGCACCTACTGGGGAATACCTCTCCACTGGAAGCTTTATGATAAGAGGTAAAAACATTCTGAACATTTCTTAGTTCTTATATGTTCTTACATATTTCCTGCTAATGATGTGATTCTTATTTGAACAACCGTTAAATCAACAGGAGATAGTTGAGCATACTCATGAAAAATGCATGTACTTTAAAAATCCAAATCTGGAGACAACTGCTTTAAGTTTGAGTAATACTTAGAATGTTTTACTTTTTTTCCAGGCAAGAAGAATTTCCTGCCACCATGCTATCTGGTCTATGGATTTGGTTTTCTTTTCAAACTAGATGATACATGTATATTCCGTCACAAGGATGAGAGGAAGGTTCGAACTTTGGAAGAAGATGCTATGTCAGTTGCTGATTCCATAGCAACTGAAAATAGTGAAGTTTCCATAGAAACTGATGATGTAACAAATGATGATGGAGATGACAGTGATAGTGAGGCTGATGATGAACATGCATCCACTGAAGATAGGACTTCAAATAGTAATACAACTCCTAGTCAGGATGGTGAAAGTGAAACTAAATCCCTTGAAAATATTGACACAGAATCAAACAATGCTTGTGAAAACAATGATGCAAAGTCAAACACAACTGAAATTGATGAAAAGGAATCAGAAGATCATGTTACCATGGAAACCAAACCAGAAAAAAATGATAGTGATGATGATGATGATGATGAGAATTTGTTTCCTGATACTAACATTCAACTTCATCATGTACAAGGAGATAAGTAAGTTTTCTGATCTGGCATTTTTGATAAATCAAATTTAAAAAAAACTGATTTCTTAATTTCGAAACATAGAATGCACCAGTCAATTTATGTTTTCAGACTCTTTTATGGAGAAGCTAAGAATGGGTAATTGTACCAGGTTTCCTTTTTATTTTTTTCATTTTTTACATTAAGTTACCCATTTTCTCTACAACTATTTTCTATTTTGGTTTGGTATGCTTTTTAGTTGAGCTTTATTGTAACCATTTACAACCTTTTATTTTTTATCACACTTTTGTCTTGTTTAAAATATACAATGACTAAATATTTCATTATAAAATCCCTCCACCCAGTACATCTTATATGTAAGTTTTCTCAAGGACATGGAATTATATGGATCATTCAAGAAAATCAATTTCCCATGGGGTTTGGAGCAAACTGACTAAAGTTGATGTAGTACATGTGAAAATATAATCATAATTTTTTAGTATCTCAATCTTTAGTATCTCTATTTTTGAATCTCAATTGCATGCTCTAAAAGCTGCTTGGATTCCAAGGTTATATGATAAAAAACAAATGATGAATAAAATACCATATCTCTATTTTGATAATATTGTAAATGATTTTGATGTATTATTGAAAATGAATAGTTTTGATTTGCAATACTTTCAGAAAATACCAATTTTTTATCAGCAAGTATTATGTGCTCATGCCAAATGTAAAGACAAAAAAAATCTTGAAAATATGAAAACATGTGATATCCTGCAAGAGACTATATGGGGTAATAGTTTGTTTACTGTAAACAAAAAAACTCTGTATTTTAGAAATTGGATTGAAAGTGGTATTGTCTATGTAAAGGATCTAATAATAGAGGATACATTTAATGATATCAACCACATTTTTCAAAAGTTACAGGAAAAACAAAATTGGATTTCTGAATTTTATCAAGTTAACTCAAGTATGAATATTGCAAGAGGTTTTATTGATGTCAATAAAGCAAAATACACAAACATTCCAAATTACAGATTGAAAGCAAATAATGTTTTATTCCAAATTAGAGATCAAAAATCAAAATTCTTTTATGAAATTTTGAAAAATAAGCAATCTGAAAAATGGTTCATGAAAAAGAAATGGGAACGTGAATTTTGCTTCTTAAATAATGAAACCTTCGATGAAATAAATTGGGAAAACTTTTTTTTTACAAAGATAAAATGTAAAGAAAAGAAGATAGCTAATTTCAACTATAAGATTATAAACAACATCCTTCCTAGTCTAAATGACTTACATTTATTTGGAAAAAGTGAAACATATAATTGCAGTTTGTGCGGAGAAGTATGTACATTAAAACATTTGCTTTTCACATGTACACTCTCCCAAAATGTTTGGAAATATATCTTTAATATATCAGGTTTAAAAATAACATATAGGAAGTTGATAATAGGCTATAATGGAAATGACAACCAGACTGCATTTTTGAACTATTTTATTAGTATTGTAACATTTGTGATCTATAAAGCATACATCCAAGAATTAAATAATGGAATAAAACGGAATTTTGAAGGAATTGTTAAAACTCTAAAATTCGAAATTTATGTACGTAAAAATGTATTTTTTAAAAACAAATGGAATATGATAAGATTGTAATTGATTTATTACTACTGTATCTGTACTTACTTTAAAAAACTGAAATAAACTATATTGAAAAGAAAAAAAAAAAAAAATTTTTTAGTATTCTCACACAGTTGAATCCTATGATGAATAAACAAGTAGAATCTAGAGTAAGCAGTTGGCTTTCCAATTGAATTAATCCAAAATGTCTTTATGTAATATTATGAAATAACTTTCTTATTGCGTGTTTGTGTCAATGTCTAAATATCACCTCTTCCTTATATCTTCTAGTGCCACATACAGGGTGAACTGAAAAATGCAATGTCTTTTTGAAATTATTGTCAATGATAATGGAATCATCTTAATTTTTCATATGACAAATGTAGTTTATGTAGCAATTGAATTAATGTTATGGTCATATCATTTACTAAAATGGGTTGCATTCAAATCATGTCTTCCTGTCTATCTTTTTTATAGTTTGTCCTTTGATTGTAGATATGAGCTTCAGCGTTTCACGAGTCACACAGAGGAGCAGAGTGAAGATGTTGTCTATTTTGGTGACAATAAACCTGTGCCTATCATTAACACAGAAATGGGCAAAAACACAAGTAGGATGACCGCCAAACAGAAAAGGTCAGTTTGATTCATATACCTTGTTAGTCCTGTATACAATCCTCATATAGTGCTCATATATGAGCTTATTCATTGGCAGTACAGTTTCAAGTATGATAAATGCTAATGTTGCATCATGTTTCTGGACTCCCCAAAATCTATTTCGCTCAGTAGACATGATATGTTTAGGGGGCCTGAATACAAGACTTACTTCTAATTAAATGGGTTTTCCAGCGTATATGTATCACTATGGGTCTATGATATTGTAGCAGGCTGTCTCCAGGAACAGTTGAGTGTACATGTACATGTATGGCATATTTTCAATTCATTAGAAAATTTCATATGTACACAGAATACAGTAATAACCTATACCACATATCATCATAATATCATTTGAGTTAGATGTTTTATTTCACGTCTGGTGAATATATAGAATTAAGTGCAGACTTGCCAAATACAGTGTACATGTATGACATTTAATCAGTTTTAAACATTTTCAGAGATTTAAAGAAAAAGAAGAAACAAGGAGGCGGAAATATTGAAGATACAAGTGATAAACCACAAATCCCTGATGAATCCACTGAGAGTATAAAAGTAGGCTATTTTCACATGTATTGAATGTATTACTTGCTCATATTCATCATATTTTAGGAAGTCGAATTTTACCATCTAAATGGCCCATCCATTGCATTTTATTCCAATATTGTACTGACTACAATAAACTATATCAGAACTCCTCTCAGTGTGAACACTTTCCACACCCATTTTATTATCTCTCATTGACTCCCATGTTAAAGAACCCTCAAAATGTGAAAACCTGCTTATTTGAACACTTTTAGCTGGTTCTAGTGCAGTTCGTGGATTAGACAGGTTTTCATGTCTCCGACTATTTTGTTGCTGCTGTTTGGCAGTTGGTGTTTGGCATCTGTAACAGCATTCTGCTTTTGGGGTCAGTATTCAATCCCTGACAATATATGATAGTTTTAATTCTTTTTAAGACATCTCTGAAAGAAGACGTCTCAGAACTTGACATAGAAGTGGAAGATTCTGTGAAAACAAAGAACACTGAACCACAGCAACAGCAGCAGCCAAAACGAGGACAAAAGGTAATAATAATTCAAATTAATAATGATTTAAGAAAAACCAGAATAGATGCCACCCTCGCATATTTTACCTTAAATCACCACTCCCCACAATGTTAAATTCAGGATTTGGGCAAGATAAAAACATTTATTTTGACAAAGCTATAAAGATGAAACATATGGTTTGACATGGTCATTGATTTCTTTGACTATGTACAATGTGACCTTGACCCCCCCGGCATTGACCTTTGTATGGCCTTACATGTTACCTTGACCCATGTGTTATCATGTATTAGTATATGACCAATAGTTTAGAAATGGTGTTATAATTCATAAACTTAATCACTTCCAGGCAAAGTTAAAAAAGATTAAAGAGAAATATAAAGACCAAGACGAAGAAGAAAAGCGACTAAAGATGGAGTTACTTGCTGTAAGTCATATTGTACAAATGTTGTGTTTTGTAGTGGGGCTGTAAAAAATCTCTTAGACTCAAAGTTAGATTTCAAAGTGAAACTACCCGCTAAATATTGTGACCCTTAGTAATGGTAAAGTGTGAAAATTGAGTAAAAAGTGCTTGTTTTCATAATTTATAATGATGTATTATAGCGTATTATGTTTTATTTTGCATGTTTTCCAGTCTGCAGGGTCAAAGAAGGAGGAGGTTCCCAAGAAAGGGAAGAAGGGAAAATTATATAAACAGCAGATGAAACAACAGCTGCAACAGCAGCAGAAACAGCAGCCTGTTAACAAACAACAACAACAACAGCAGCAAAAACGTGGGCCTAAGCAACTTAGTGATATACTGGTCAAAACTGAAGAGCTGCAAATTGCAGGTACTGGACATGTACTCAAAGATTAATGTGTTATTTGCGTATAACGTTGAATATGTCACATTAAACAATACAGCATACAGTACTATATTCGCAACTAAAAGAATAGATGGGCACTTTGAAAGTACATTTGTTTTATAGAAATTGAAAAAAATGTTTACGAGAAAGGCATTTAATCAAGGTTTTGAGATTCAAGAGAATTTGGATTTTATCAGACATTTATGGGATTTCCCTGTGTGCTATCAACATAGCCTTCTGGCAGAACTTGATTCCAGACAGAAATGGATGAATTATGTATCATACTTAACTTCAGATCCTAGCCAAACTCCAGTAGATGATGGTGCTGACTCAGATGATGAGAGACAAGGAGCACTTGAGGAGGAACAGGCCAAAGTGCTAGAAGATGCCTCCACTGTTGACTCTCTCACTGGTATTCCTGTCACAGAAGATGAACTCCACTTCTGTGTACCTGTATGCGCCCCCTATAGTGCAATGACAAACTACAAGTAAGTTTGTACCTGTATGCGCCCCCTATAGTGCAATGACAAACTACAAGTAAGTTTGTACCTGTATGCGCCCCCTATAGTGCAATGACAAACTACAAGTAAGTTTGTACCTGTATGCGCCCCCTATAGTGCAATGACAAACTACAAGTAAGTTTTACCTGTTTGAATACAGACACAGCATTTAAGCAAACAATTGTGCCTGATTTAGTCTGATTATGACTAATAAGTCTGATTGTTGCAGTTTTCATGTAAATGTTATTTTATAATTCGAACATGACTGTATTCGCGCCTCACCTGGGGCATATTCGCGAGCAATACCCCTGGTAATACGAGTAATGTGTGTCCTCATAACATTGGGCCGTAGAAACGGCGGACCTTAATGAATATTCGAAACATTTTGGTGAGTTTTCATGTTCGAATTGTAATATAGACCTCAGACCAGGTGTTATATCCTCAAATACACACCTTAGGGGTAGGCACAAAAGCTTTTGAGCTTTCTTACAGAAAACATTTGTGCCTAGCCCTGCGGGGTGTATTCGACGATGGTGGAGAGGTTAAGCTTTGCATATATAATCGAAACTGAACCTGTACGTATCACTCGACCATATACAAATTCATGTAGCCTTCTCATATAAATAGCCGTTCAAATACAGTGTTTGTTTATACTACACCATAGCGTGTAATGATTCTATAGTATGTCATTGATGCGGTTTTATAGCTGGTTTTCTAATACATATTTTAAACGAGCTCGTTTCGTAAGATTTTTGGCGCTAAATCATGCATGACATACATCATCGTGTTCAGCAAGAATTCAACTGTACATCGAAATCAAAATTGACAGCATAGTGTTCAATAGACACGAGTAAAATGGTTCCCGTTGACCCAACGTCAAATATTCAAATCTCCCGTTCTAAACCCGAAACTCTGAAGCTGAAAGAGTATCTGAAGTAGACTAAGCGCGCATAAAACTATGAGCGCTCGATACATTCCTTTGTTAATTTTTGCACTTTGCGTTCACGGTTACGTTGTGAAAAACATCGTTAGCTTAACCTCTCCACTACCCCTGCTCTACGGTCTATATTTCTTAAATATAATTTCTAGTCTTGCATCAAGCCCCTTTACACCCCCGCCCCCATCTCTTATACACAGGAAAAATGATATAGAGAGAACAGTGATGATTAGGGACTTGATGCGAGACTAACTGAACAGTGGTTTAATTTCTGTTCTTTGCTCTGTTTAGGTACAAGGTGAAACTGACCCCTGGTACACAGAAAAGAGGAAAAGGTAAATTAATTTATTTTTTATGTTATTCATATGTCAAATGAGAATATGGATTAAAAATGGAATTTGAGGATTGTGGGCTTATGTCACATTCATGGATTTTGCCATTTTCAAGGAGGCTGTCACTTTCATGATTTATGTCACTCCCATGGCTTGTCTCGTTTTCGTTTAGTTTATGCAAGTTATACCCATGATCATGAAGACATTTTTGCACAGCAACCCACCAAATAAAAGGAGGGCTTTTGATTGGAAGAAGTTATTCAAAGCTCTACTCAAAAAATCCCATCATTGATCAGATTGTGTTTGTATTTACAGTGTGACATTTTTTTCTCTTACTGGAGTTCACTCTGGTTTAAAAAAATTTTTCTGTAGTTACTTATATATATTTCTTGTATCTCAAGAAAAAGAATTCATTTGGCTGAAAATCAGTAATGTAATCTATTTTATTCCACAGTTAGCATGATATTCATAGGATAACATGTCAAAATAAAACAGTATTTTTGTAATCATTGGTAAATATGATATATTTGACAGATTTTCACCTAACCATAGCATACGGCGTTTAAGCCATGACATACGGCACCATATGCTATGAATTATGGATTTTTGCTACTTCAGGCTCAAAACGAGGCTAAGTGTCAACATTGCCATATTGTTTGGAAAATTTGAATTAAATCACTTAATTTCCGAAGATTCTGATGATGACTTATCCTATGATTTACTCGAGATATGATTTTAATCCACTCATGGATATTGATATCTGCATTCTCGCTAAGCTCGCTTGTGCAGATATCATATCCATTCGTGGATAAAAATCATATCACTCATAAATCATAGGATATCATCTCTATATATGATATGACCTCAGAGCAGGTTTTTCAGTTTCATGTTGTTTAATTAGACACTGTGCCATAATTAGCTCTGACAGAAGGATCCCCATTAAAAAGTGATGGATTGTTATATTATCGTGAACATCTATCAGATAGCAATGTATCACTTAGGGAATGAAGTTCTCCTTGATGTATTAGTCTATTCTAATATCATTGTTAATATAATGCCATAATTATAAGGATTAATCATGACTTTGTCAATTTGACACAAAAGTGTTCAGATTAGACAGGTTAATTTTTTTTCAAATATGACTGTTCACTGTTCAAATTGAGAGGTGTTCACATTTCAAGGTTTTTTTAACATGGGAGTCAATGGGAGGAAAAAATGAGACCAAAAAAAAGTGTTCATAAAGGGAGGTGTTCGGATTAGCCATGTATTCAGATATTCAGGTTTTACTGTATATATAATATACCCCAGTGAGTCTATGTAGGCACTCCCTTGTCAATTTGTCTGTTTAACTGTTTATCATCTTTTTTTCGCACCCTTGGGTGCTAATATTAATCAGTTTGCCGGGTGGGAGGGTGGTTGCTCTGTCAGGTGGGCATCCCAATAAATCTTGTTTAACCATGTGGGCCCACCAAATAGTGCCAATTTACATGAAGAGTTCTATGATCAAAACTTGCACTTTTTAGATAAAAAGTATTTCCCTAACTGATAACAATTCTAGCCTCCTGAATCTTTCCATAAATATATGAAAATTTTATAAAATAAAAGTGCAGATTCAATATGGGGTAGTAAAGCTAGTTAGACATGGCCAGGCACTTTAATCTCTATTAATACTGATTGTTATGGTGGCTTTACCATGTGGTAATATTGACTGATGACTGTACTTTTATGCTTATTAATGAATATTTCTTGTAATTTTCATGATGAAAGAAGTTAATTCTTATTTATTTGCATATTCTATAATAAGGAATTAATTAATGACTTGACTTATTCATCACAATGGATTGTTTCCATGGTAATGCTTGACAAATGACATAAACAAAACTAGATATTTTCAAGAAGCAACACAACGTAAATGGAGTCATCGACCTTTCTGTTTTTTATAAAAAAAATTCTACTGTTATGTAACTTGTGATCAAACATTTTAGATAATATCTCTTTTGATTTGAATATAATAATATTCTACCTTTTAATGACAAGTTATCCATATTCTTGTTAAGTACAGCAGCCTTGATTTCTGATGTGCACTGTTTGTCTTTAAGCCACATTGTTTTTAAGTACAACAACCTTGAATGTGTTTATTAGACATAACGTAAAAGCTATTTCTATTCTTGTAATATATTACTTCAAACTTGTTATTGACAGTTTCCTTGACAATATAAGCCTGTATAAGTAAATGATTAATATATACAGTCAATGTCCTTGGTTCATTGTATTTTGCATGAGGCTTATTAATTAGCTGCATACCTTAGATGTGTTTTGAAGGCTTTTACCCTAATTTGGACCCGACCATGCTAAAGTGAACAGTAATTCCCCGTTGAACCCCTTTCAGTAGCAGTTTCTATTAAAAGTGCTTTATCTTCATAGTTGCTTTGGTTGCCATATTCAGGTTGCTGGGATTTGCAATTTTGTGGATTTGACATTTCTTGTTTGGAATACAGATTCCAAATCATCTCAATATCCTTGCAACATCTCTATTCCAAGAATATCTTAAATTCGGGATAAAGCCATATTTCAATATACATTTACAGTCACCTTGACCTGATGAAAGTTTCTAATGTTAATTTACAATCCAACTGGGTAATATTACCTTGATTGAGTAGCAGGGGAGACCATTGAATAATTGATTAATGGTGGATCTATTTCCCCTGGATCACCACTCTACATGCCAAAGCCCAATAGACTACACCAAAGGTTGCGCTAATCTGTGAAGTTCACTGACATATTTGGCTATGTATTTCCATGCTTTTCTTGTATTGGAATAAAGCATGTTCATTTTCATGGATTTTCATGTAATTTAGTGTGTAGATTTTAGGCTTGTTCATGTTAATCGTTCGTTTTTCATTTTTAGCTCAGTATTTTATATTGCAAAATCAGCCTGACTTTTCTTTGTATGTGGTAGGAACTGAGAATTAAATACCTTTGTTGGCCTTTGATGAATTATTCACTGATTTGACGCAGAATTGAGAGGAAATTAAAATAGTTTGCTTTCAATTTTTCATCAGGTTTATATCTGAATTGTTCTGACATGCGATGCTTAATCAATAAGATATAATATAGATGAGCACACCTTGTCGATCTTGATTATAGTGATTTTTGACAGTTAACACATTGATGTTTTATTCTATAGAAAAATAAGTTATTAACTCAATGTTACCTCATGGTTTACAAACGTGACTGTATGATTTGCTTTTAATTTTTATATTTAAATTATCAATTATATGTACATGCATACACACATTATTAGTGGATAAAATAAACATAAATTAAAGACAATTTTTATTAGCAGAAGAAGTGAGTAGCTCCCATAACTCTTTCATATTCTATCGTATTCGGGGATTCCCCAGTGTATGATGTCCAATCAAATTGCAGGATGTGAGCATGGGCTCTCTCAGTGCTGCGCATGCGCAAAGTAAAATTTGAAATCGTGGAAATGGCGTTTATTTCAGTTTAACATCATTTCAACATCATCATTTCAAAACTGCGGTAATAATATTGAAGTTACTCAATCCAAACTTGTAGAGAATACTCATAAAACAACAGCGAACATTGTGAGATCCATTTCAATGGCAAGTACTGAGGCCTGTTTATAAAATTGGTTATTGAAGGTGCCAATACCAAAGGACACCTTTGGGAAATCTCCCCCTGCCTATGATGATCTCACCATGACAACCATACGATAAATGCATTACTGGTTATTTCATGCACTGCTATTATGTGAAATACTATGTTTTGATTGGCTGGAATCGAACACACATTGCCTAGCTATGTGTGAATATAATTTTTTGCATCCCAAACCAGACATTCATGATTAATTTATATTAGGTAAGTTACAACTTTAAGAAGATTAATTATACTTAGCTGAGAAAAAACCTTGTTTTGACTGTCCAATAATCAATTGTGTATTTTACAAGTCACTAAGAGCAGATTAACAATAAGTGATTAACTCCAATGAGAAAATATTCGGAAAAATATGATATTAGTGGTCACTAGCCATGTTTCAGAATTGGAAAAGCGGAATCAACAGGAAATTTAGTCTCAAAGCTAGAGATTATAAAGAAATACTTGAAAATAATAACGTTTATTTAAGCTTTTGAGCAGAGACGATATATCGGGTTTCCCAAAAAAGAAGACACTTTTTTCCAAGTATATTTTCTTTGAAAATGTGACTTTTAGGTCAGGGAGATTTCCCATTGTAAAATCACAAAAAGTGAAATATCATTTCTTATGTTAGGCAGATAATATTTTTTCTTTTACTGGACATATTTTAATTTGAATAAGTATCCGATACATAAGGGTAATATGAAAAGTGAACCATTAAAACTGATGATTTTCAAGTTTAAAAGAACTTTGTAATACCCTGCCATGTTATTTCCCCCGAATTAGCCACCTGGTGGTGAAACTGGTAACTACCTCCTCGCATCTGAGTAATTGATGAACCAAATTTACTGAAAATGTGTACAAAGTAGCCTAAGAGTATCATTAGCAAGTGGTAAAAATATAAAAAAGATCAAATAAATATTCAGTACTAAATATAAATATTGAGTACTAAGAAATTCAAAACAGCATGTCAAAAATTCCCATATCGGAGCTCTGCGATGAGATCTCCATAGTGTTTGTACCAGCTATCAGGTGATAGAATATGTCAATCAGTCAAAATAGCTTGTCTGTGTGTCATGTCTAATTAATTTGATCAAAATAAATAAAAAATAAATATTCAAAATCCAATCATTCTCAAAATTCATTGGAGGTGATATTGTTGGAATAAAAATGGAAAAACATTTTTGCCACAAAATGGATGAATAAGTGACTTTTACATTGATACACTGTATTGACAATTTTGACATACTGTCTTTAATTCAAAAATAGACACATAATAAAAGACCGATCTCTTACATATTCATAGTTCTACTTGAGGATACTCTAAAGTGCCTCAAGTAAAGTTT